ATATACTGTATAAAACCTTTTCATGATATGCTAATTTTTTGAGATAGGGATTTTTGAGTTTACTTTTTTCCAAAATCATCAATATTAAAACAATAAAAGGCTTGAACTACTTCAGTTGGTGTGCAATGAATCTAAAATATATGAAAGTTTAATGTTTATCAGTACATTACAGAAAATAATGAACTTTATCACAATATGCTAATTTTTTAAGAAGGACCAGCATATCCACCTTAAAACCTGTCGTGGGTCTATTCTGAGCGCTCAGAAGACGTTTGTTCACGTTATGTTCATCACGGAAGTACAGCTTCTTTTTCTGTGTTTTTTTTAGGAAAAGTTGAAAACTCTGCACATGTCAGTGCTTCTATTCTGAATAAAAGTCTGGTGCATAAACACTTGTCATGATCGGATTGTGCCCATGTAAATGATGTATTCAGATTATTTAATCCAAATACATTTMAATCCGATCAAAGAATTTTGCACATGTAAACATAGCTACTGTGTCTATGCCCAGTCTAGCCTGGCCCTTGCCTTCCTACGCAGTTCCTCTCAATTCTAGTTTCCCTTCACTGCTCCGTCTGGGATTTCTCTCATAGACAAGGATTTCTTCGGGAGCATTTTCATCCAGACCAATCAGAGAACAGAACGTCGATTTTCTGCACAGTGTCTGCTAGTTATTTTAGCATACGGCAGTGGAGGAAGTGCATGAAGCCAGTCTGTGTTGATAAGGCTTCCAAATTAAATTAAATTTGTCTGACAAAACAGCAGCTCTCATTTACAGTCGTCTCGTTCGGCTCGGTACTTCTCTCCTCTCAGTAGGGTCGTTTACAGTGCACGCAATTTCCGGTTAGCTTCTTAGCTTAGCCTCCTTCACAGCGACACTTCAGCAGAAGYCACGCCTCCAGCAAGAATCGCTTCTCTATAGCCGAGAGTCCAGACCCTCGTACGAATCAAAGTGAGGGTCTGGTTTTTACCAGGCTATGCCCAATCCAACCTGACTAACTTTAATTAGTGGCCCAAGCCCGAAGTAAACCCAACACTAATATTTTAATTACAATATTTATGCGTGTTTAATGCAATCCCTATTTTTTTTAGCTTAAAAAGCATAAAAAATCAAGTCCTCCTTTATAATAACTCTAATTTCATACAGACTTCAGCATTTGCAGCCCTTGCGGGGACACTCACCTGTGTCTGATCCGACATTAGGTTGTTATTAGCAAGATGGGCAACTTCGGAGTGTTGCTTGTGAACATGCACCTGACATCTACGTCTTCTTTCCATCTCCACCCTGGTGACTACAGTTTTTTTTTTAAAAAAACACCTGCAACACACGTGTTCAGTTATAGGCCTATACAAGAAAATATTTTAATTTACTGTGATAGATTTTTTCGGAGTTAAGTATCTTCTCATAAATACGGTAAGCTTTTAGTGATTTCATGTTTACAACACCATTTGAGTTTAAGCAAATTAGATAGCAGCAGAGCAGGGCGGGGCCATGAGTGCATTAGTTGTGCAGTAATGCACCTTATTACTTACTTTATTTTCTTAACAGGGTAAACTACCATAAGTAGATTAACGCAACTTTAGATCAGCCATTCTTGTTTATGTTTCTCTCAGCTGTATGCTTTGTAGGATTATTAAAAATGTGCCACAGAACCTGAACATCAAGCATATAGTTTTGGCTCGGCCCAATAATCTAAACTCTAAAACAGCAGGTAAAATAAGTATTGAACACGTCACCATTTTTCTCAGTAAATATATTACT